TCAAAATTATGGAATTTGAGTTGTAGGCATTTGTAGCTTCCTCAGCCTCTCCTACAACTATTTCATCGCATAAGAACCCCTCCAAAAACGTTTTTTTTTTTGCCATAACGGGCATGTTTGTAACCGCCATTTTCTCATAAAGTCAGTATTTTATTTTTCTTTATCGGCTGTTTTCTCAAAACGCGACTTTTCTCTATACTTTTTAAAATAACTCCACCATTTTTCGTCCAATCTTCCTGAAATTTTCACAGAAGGAAGAGAAGGGGTAATACTAAAAACAAGAGTGTTGAATTTTTTATATATTATGGAATAGATTTTTGTTGGTGGTGTTTGGAGTGTGGATTTTCACGGATTTTTCGCAAACTTGAATGTTACCTCAGGAAACAATTCATTTTAAAAAATTTAATTCGTTTAGGAAAAAAACAACCGACAAATTTTTAGATCTAATGTTTGTGAACACGCATGAAAAAAACCCAATCAATTTCCATGAGCAATAAGTGCGGTATTCATTACGTAACGCGTGTCAACAAAATCCAATATGGCCACCGTATCCATGGAAAAAAAAACTTTTTTCTCAAATTTGATTGCGGAATTTAAGACTCCTTACCATGCTTGTTATAACATGTGTGAAATTTGGTAAAATTCGGTCCTGTAATAAGCGAGATAGCCTTCAGGTGTAACCCCCACCCCCCACCCCCTTAAGTAACAACACACAGAATTCAGGCAAATTATGTTGCAATCAGTCATCTGGCGCAAGAAAAGGGAATCTCCCCCAGCTCTATATGGGGCAAGTTGGAAATCATAAGGGAATTTTTTAAGGGCGAAAACACAGAGAACGCCGATTTCGGGGACTAACTCAGTAGGCGCCGATAGGTATAAAATTTTAAAATTCCCTTATGATTTCCAACTTGCCCACATAGAGCTGGTAGACTGCTTTCGGCTTTAAGCTTGAATCGGCGTTGTCGGCTTTATTTGAATCCAAACTACATTCTTATTAGGCCCTATGCCGAAAAGCTGGGAAGGGCGTCTAGCTGTCAACTCGCCACCTCAGTGCTTTCTTGTCGTATCTACATTTTTTTAACAGTGAAAATGTGACTTCTTCTTAAGTTCACTCTTTGTTGTGAGATGGGCTGTAAGGGTTGAGGGTGAAACCCCAGACGCTCTCTGGCAAGCAAACCTCAACCAAGTCAACCCCCCGTCCTTGTCGAGCAGTCTGGGGACCCCTGCTCTGTGCATAGGAGTAGGGGTTGCAGACGGAGCTCTGGCCAGGAGGTACCATATAGCCCTGTACACGTGAGGTGCGAAGTGAGCAACGACCCTTCGGCTCGTAGAAGGGTTCATACACATCCACCATTATGGTAGGTCTGGCGTCACAGCAGGCCAACCGGTTCATTTGGGAACTCACTGTCGACATCTTCTTCCCTCCCTCTCGTGGGATCTCTACAGACGGGGCATGGTACCCACAGACTGCCAGATGACTCATTGTGAGATGTCTCCGCGGACCCAGAATGTCTTGTAGCTGTAAGGAATAGGCTGCCTGGAAACAAATGACGTCCCTACAGATATCCTGGCAAATGCTCTCTGACCCATGACGTGACGATCCTCTGTCTGAGTAGATTTGGCCACCCCTCTAATTATTCTGCCCCATGAACGGAAATATTAATAGCAGATAGCCAGGAGACAGCAGGTGGCGGGGATTGGGCAAACGCAAGCTACGCTTGGTGATGTAGACGACTCACTGTGGAAGGAACGCGTTACCCCTTACTCAAATAGGACCCCTTACTGGACTGCTCAGATGATCACTTGTCATTGGTTGCACTTTGTGGCTCCCATCTCCCAGAACTAGAGTGTGCCTACACCCCCTCTGGTTGTCTTCTGTCTGAGAAATCCCCGTGAAGGTTGATGGAAAACAGGACAGTGAACATTGCACCTTTGTTCTCTTGTGGCAAGATGTTTGGGTACAAGCCAGTGTCAGGACAAGACTCCCACCTACCCGTGATCCTACAGGGATGCATACAAGCCTTCACAACCCCCTAACCAATAAAATGCCTCCACGACAAATATTGTGAGATGCCTTCACTGTTATTAAAAATGGAGATATGACAATAAGAAAGCACTGAGGTGCCGTCTCGGCGTCGCCAACTCGGGTTGAGCGGTTTGCGTGACGTCACCCGACTGGACAAGGGACAAGTTTAAATGGCCATTTCATAGCAGGTGCTTCACGATATGTAGGCAGTCAGAGATGACGATGAATCAGGCAGCTTATCTGTGGACGCACAAGTGGCTGTGCAATCCGATCCTGGATGAACAATGTCTGTTGCAGTGGGGACATTTCAAATTTGCCTTAGCTCTATGACCCGTTCACCAATGCACTTGGAATTTGGTGTTGATATTTCTTAGACATGATATCATGACTTCACAAAATTATTTAGTGGCTGTTCGTTGCTTACTTTTGTTTTTATGGAGGGGGGGGGGATTTATTCTGAGACAGACCTCGTAGATTCTACACATAGAGCGTGCTCATTAAAACAAAGATAAACAAGCATAATAATATAAATAAATGAACAAATATAAGCATTTTAATATTTATTGAGGAACGAACTAGATTCTAGATATTATCTATATATCTCTAAGGTTTGTCCCCCTAAAATGCAGGTATACGAGATTAGGAACACTATTATTTATAACTATAACTAAGTTCTATAATAACTTGATCTTTCTCATTCTTGGTCTACAATTTATTAAGTGGAACAGATTACCCATGGAACTAAGACAAACAAAAACACTAGATAGCTTCAAAAGACATCTTAATTAAGCATTAATTGCTGTTCCTACAGGCCTATCATGAAAGCTTTTAACGTTACTCTTTAAAATATTATAGTTGTTCCTGTGCCTATGTCTTAGTTTTAGTTTAGTGTGCGGTCTTACGGCGCTCGCAACTGCTTGCCTATGTCTGAATGAAAATAGCCTGTGTGTGTGTGTGTGTGTGTGTGTGTGTGTGTGTGTGTGTGTGTGTGTGCGTGCGTGCGTGTGTGTGTGTGTGTGTGTGTGTGTGTGTGTGTGTGTGTGTGTGTGTGTGTGTGTGCAGATATATATATATATATATATATATATATATATATATATATATATATATATATATATATATATATATATATATATTGCATGAGAAGAAAGGAAGTAATAAGAAAAGTTTTGAAAATGAGTATTCCAATTAATGTAAAGCGCATAATTTGAGCTACTTTTTTTTGTCGGAAATGCGCTATATAAATGATTTAGATCTAGGAGATGTGTGTGAACTTATTACCTATAGATGGTTCACAGATTTCAGCTTTCAGCTCTTTGTTTTGCGTGCCTCGCTTCCTTCCTATTCGGACCTTCAGCTCATGGTAAATCCTTACTGTCAGAATGATTCGGGCAACTTGACTATCTATTTCACAACAGCCACCTGTCATTTAATGTCAATTTGGCCTCTGTAGGGTCAGACAACATTTTCTGCTTCAATAATTGCTGTATTTGTCTGCTCCAAACAACATTCCAAAACCAGGCTTGAAAAATCAACTCAAATGTTCCCACTAAAGCGATTAATTTTTCAGTAGTTTTTTTAAAACCACAATTTGAACAATTACTGAACTGTTTGCAGGTGTCATTTGACTTTGAGCTGATGATGTCTCGTCTTGAAGTAAATCCCAAGCATATAGCACAAACATCTTTAAAGTCTTTGTAGACAATGAACCCACTTATGTAAGAAACAATATTTTCTAATTGTATCACATGGTCCATTTCGCATGATCTTACGAGGCTTGCTGCTTGCTTCATTTCATTTGGCAATGGTATAGAATCTGGAAGGGTCATCTAGACTGTTCGTTAACGAGAGGTTGATGAGGAAACTGTCTAGGTCATCAGAACAATTGCTGCCTTCACTTGTCAGTAGAATTTTTTTCAACTATGACCTGCCTTAAAGTAAGTTTGAATTGTTGAGGATCTGGATTTGACATCTGGCCATTTTTCTCTCGGATGACGGAAAGCCGATTTTCTAATCTACACAATCTTGGTTGAGGCGACAGGTCAAGATTTGACACTGACAACTGTGTTGGTCAAATAATTTTTTAAAGCCAGGAAAGCATTAATATTCCCTATGCAACTTCTGATGCAGGGAAGCGAGATGAACATATTATATGCCAACCTTTTTGAGGTTTTCAACCACACTAAGGCGTCATTTAGGAACTTAATGTGTGAAGATGTTGGGGAGATGGCATGTCTGAATGTGGCCGTGTATTTAGAGTTGGCACTATAAGAGTTAAATACATCAAAAAGATTGTTTAAGATAGATATAAAATGCGATGTTTCCATACAACTGTCACTCGGCCCCAAGGAGTTTACAGTAAGTTCTAAGCTCCTTGCTCGGCTCTGCGGTTGGCTGAGCACGTTTTAACAAGCAGACGAATTCAGTCGATGGCTCTCGCCCGACCCCCGGCTCATCCCCCCGCCGCGTCTTCCCTTCCTACTTCCTACTTTTTGCTTGATCTAATAGTAGGCCAGGGCAAGATCGACTCTGGGATCGATTCTTTCGAGTCCAAATGAGGACTAGGCCAGGGCAAGATCGACTCTGGGATCGATTCTTTCGAGTCCAAATGAGGACTAGGCCAGGGCAAGATCGACTCTGGGATCGATTCTTTCGAGTCCAAATGAGGACTCAAAGAATCGATCTTGTTCGATGTTCCCAGACTCTAAGCTTCGAGTCCGCCCAGGGTCGACGCCTCCCGTCTCCTTTTTTTTAGCCTGGTTCCTAGCCTAGACTCCGAGAATC